TTTGATCAGTTTTTGTTGAATTTTACTCATCTGATCTGTTAAGTTAGTCCATCTTTATTGCAGCAAAGTTTGATTTTTTATGAGGATTTCAGTCAGTAATGGTCAGATAATGAATGAGGAATGTGTTTTCTGGGCTCCAGTGAAGATTTTGCAGTAATATTTGTGCTCGTATTTAATAAATTCAGATGAAAAAACTCCTAAACAACCGGAACTAAAGTGCGAAGATCTTGTTTACGTTTTGTCAAAACCTGGATTATTGTTAAATCTCATTATTCTGACCCATTAAAGTTCATCTTCTTTGCAGTAAAGTTTTATTTTTATGAACACTTCAGTCTGTAATAGTCAGATACTGAATGAGGAATGTGTGTTTTTCTTTGTGAAGATTTTGCACCGACATTTGTGCTTCTGGTATTTAATAAACTCAGACTCCTAAACAACTGGAAGCAACAAACTAAACTGCTGAGATCTTGAATTAACAGCTACCGTTGAATCTTAACCATTAACGTCTGTCTTCTTTGCAGTAAACTTTTATATTTACGGGCATTTCTGTCCATAACAGTGAATAATGAAGCAGGTTTGTGTCTTTTGTGGAGACTCTGCAGCAGGATTTGTGCTGAAATGTGGCTGAACCGTTCCCCAAATCGCAGCTCGATCGAAGTTCAACACTCGTGCATGAATATCTGTGAACGCATGCAGCAGGTCAGACTTGTGCAGAAACGTTTGCAGGTCTGAAACGCGTTCACGAAGCTAAAAGGTTCAGGTACCGTCTGGAGTGCAGGTCTGAAGTGGATTCTGGATCAGTTTCCGTATAATTGCAAGCTGAAATTTGTTGCTTTTGGATTCTATTGTGTCGACATTTTACTGAATTATTCATCCGCTAAAAGCACCGACGACAGCCCTGCGTCTACTCCTCGATGTAAATATCTGCTAACCGTGCAGCTGTGCGTGATCCCTCGGACCACCCAGGCCTGCTGCTGCCTCACTGCCACGATTGTATTCACTATTGTGTGCAGCCAGTCAGGGCTCTTCCTGCCGCCGACGCCCCTCCTGATTTACCACCAAGAAACCCGATCCTGGACACCGGCGGGCAGCGTGGGAGGCTCAAGGTCCTCGGTGTGGAGTTTGCTCCAGTCTCTAAATGAACACGTGTTGCTCGGCAGAACAAACGAGTAATTCTGCAGGAAAACAAGCTAAAAACAACAAAAGCCGACAGCGGAAACAAAGGCCCGGTGCTGTTATGTGATACAGCAGCTGCAGACACACCCTGATACCTGCTGCCTCATCCTCTCCTCTGCACCAGCCCACGCCGGCCATAAAGCATTTCCGTGCTGACACCTTTTGGTAAGAAGACAGAACTGTTCCTACCTTGGCCGCGCTGAATCAAAGCCTCCATGTGGTCTCTGGTGAAAGTCACCTCCATCCCGGCTCAGAACGCTGAGTCCTCCGTGCTACATTAAAGCCGACTGCTCGTTCATTCATTCGGTCGGGTCTTTTAGGATGCTGGGGTTTGGTGCCGGGTGCAGGCTGGGCTGACTCAGGGGCAGATGAAAGGTGGCACCATGTTCTCATCTGGACCGCGGCGCTGCTGCTGCTGCTTCGCCCCGTTTCGCGGAGGCACGGGCAGGAAAAGCTGAGTGTGGTTTAATTGGACTCACATTTCCCGGCCTCTGCTGAGTCATGTATCAGCAACGGCGATGGAAAAGTTCTCAGCAGCCTGAAGGTAAAGCCTGGCAGCAGTAGCCGGTCTTTGTGTTTGTATGGGAGGAAACCGGCCACGCTGGATGCTCAGTGCTCTGGTGAATAAAGTCAAAGCAGCAGCAGGACAACATGCAAACTGGATCCCGCTTTCTCCCAGCAGATGGCAGAACTAACCCCAGGCACTGCTGGGCTAACAACATGCAGTGTGTCCTCCTGTTGAGGCAATTCCACTGTTTAAAGAAGTGATTGACTTCATTTTTCTGCTTCTATTTAATGAGTTTTTACAACAACCGAGCAAACAAAAGCAGCACAATGACCTGTGTTCACGTTAAAGCCACTATGACGAGAGTTCAGAGCCCAAAACCTCACAAAACCTCACATAACCTGACATAACCCCACCTGGACCAGTGTGGGAAAGTTCACACCAAACTGGGAAAAAAAAAAAAAACCCAAATGTGACTTTTTAATATTTTCCTCACCGGCTCCTGTGAAGACACTGATACTTCAGGGCAGGAGCGAATGTAGAAAAGCTTGAACGGCAGCATA